AAGTCGAGTATTAGGGTTGTAGGTTAGGAGGTAGTTGAGTCGTGCCTTACTTCGTACCATTGTGGGACTAGCCATGTAGGGTTTTTGTCTAAGATAGCTAGTGGCAATGTTGTGGCTTAATATTTCGCTTTTCAGTGCATGTCCTATTTACTAGCTATCGCTTTTTCTTTGCATCTTTCTTCTAGATTTCATGGTGTTCCTATTGTTCTTATGATTGTTGTGGTCATACTAATATTTACTAATATTATCTCCCTTTGTTTTGCATCCTTTTCTGGAATTCATGGTGTTTCTATTTATCCTATGATTGTTGTTGTGATACTAATATTGTCTCCTTTTTGTCCTTTTGTCTTTTTTTTTTNGTCTTTTTGTTTTTTTGAGCCGAGGGTCTTTCGGAAATAACCTCTCTACTCCTTCGGGGTAAGGGTAAGGCCTGCGTACACACTACCCTCCTCAGACCCCATTAGTGAGATTTTACTGGGTTGTTGTTGTTGTTGTTGTTGTTTGAGGTTGCATGACCTAGTAAGTAAGTTCTTCTTTTGACACCATTCTTCTGATGAAATTACGAAATTTTTTATAATGTGATCAACATAATGCCAATCAAATATCTGTCAAAGTATAAAAGAATGAAGTTTTGTTCTTAAGACTTTAATCATGCTTGATTTTCACATTGAAATTGCATCAAAACTAGCCTCCGGACCAGAGCTTTTTATTTCTTAGAGAACTTAAATTTTGTGAAGATTTTGAAGACATCTTGGGTAAGAAATGAGGATATGTTAGGTGTTCAACAACAACAACAATAACAACCCAGTATAATACCACTAGTGGGGTCTGGGGAGGGGTAGTGTGTACGCAGACCTTACCCCTACCCTGGGGTAGAGAAGCTGTTTCCGATAGTCCCTCGGCTTCCTCCCTCCAAGAACTCCCCACCTTGCTCTTGGTGTGACTCAAACTCACAACTTCTTGGTTGGAAGTGGAGGGTGCTCACCACTAGAGCAACCCACTCTTGTCTAAAATCTTAGTTGTTCAAGATCTTAAAATCTTAAACAATTGTGTGCTACAAAAGGGTAATGTTAATAGAATATATTAGGAAACCAAATCTTGATTGTCTAGTATAAAGTGAAGATCACATTGCTGAGAACTCGAACAACAAAGAGCAGACCAGCCCCCAAGTAGCGAATATAGAATGTAGTTTATCTGATTTAAGATTGTCTTGATCCACGAAGAAAAGTACTTAAGACCAAGTTGTCATATATCTGTTTCTGGCTTTATCTATGTCTTAGGTAGGTGGTATCCTTACATAAAAACATCTTTCGTCATCGCTTTGAAGTTTAAAGATGTCACTCTTATTGCCTTGCAATGATGGATCTTCAAGGAAAGAATGCTGCAAAACCCTTGAGTAGCTTGGATGGCCTTCCGGTTCGGAGTAGTTGTCAAACTTGTAGGATGTCTTCTTGTTATGTGGTAGCAGGAACTAAGTTACTGTACGCAATATGCACATGGATAAATGGTAAGCTTTAACTTTGATGTACAAACCTTTTAAACTATTGTGTCATGTGCACATTCTTGCAAGCTGGTTATCAACTTGACGTAGGAGAACGCAGTATTCTACGGGTGCATCTGATTTTGACTTTCGAAGAGGGCCCATTGCTATGAACATTGGCTGTATCTGTATGTCTTTGGCTTCAATGTGACAATAATATAACGTTGGCTGGTTTTAAATTCTTTGTTCTACCTACATCAGGGTGAAGGTGTGGGACTTTAGAATAGTGAATGTTGGACTTGATCACTCCGTGAAACCAAAATAGTGGCTTATTGGGCATTTACGTTCTTTTGTTCAGCAAATAACTTTTTCTAGTTGGAAGTTTGATGAGTTGGTATTATTTTTCGTGTCCTTTATTATTGTATTTTTCCTATTGAGCAGGCTTTGCTTGTATACTGGAGCTACTAGCAGCACCCTTTTACATCTTGTCTCAGAATCTACTTCTCCTCAAATCGCGGCTGATAGTTGAAACTGCAGCTACCCTTTCACATTGCTTAACTATCTACTTCCTCTTTGTAAAGCTACCTGACATGGTAACTAAATTTTCTACTGTTTTTTAGTTTGCTCTTTATCTTCATGTATATTAATGTTAAAAGGTCGACTTGAATGGAGTAATTTTTATTTGAACACGAAGAATTTTCTTAAATTGTTTTCTGTACCTCAAAATTAGTGACTGTGACTTACTGTAGCTTGATTTTATCTCTTGTCGCAATTGGTTTTTTGGCTGACTTAGCTACAGGTTTTTACAAAGGATGAAACGACCGTTGTATGCTTCCTCGATTTTCTCCATCTCCTACTTCCCCTTGAATGTTCTTGGATGCCTTGCCTTCCATTCTGGAAAACACCAAAAGCAATAGTCCTCTCTTCCTTCACTTGCTGGGTTCATGTTATTTGATTTTTTCCGAGTTCTGATGCCAGGACAAGCCTGTTGAATCCTAGGAAATGTTGAGCAACATCCTTTAGATTGACTGTCAGGCTTAAGCTAAACAACTTCAGTTTCTAAACCATCTCTGCTAATAATATTAGGCTTTCCTCTGAACAGCCTAAGGCCTAGCACATGGACTGAAGCCAATTTAATGCCTATTTTACCTTGATGCATAAAGCTTTAGGTTAACAGTTCGGAGCACCTTTGATCTGCAAAAAATTGAAGAGATTAGATAACATAGTTATCATTGTAAAAGATGAAGTATTTTATGATCCTTGAAGCTTAAATCATAAATGATAATAATGTAGGTCAGATATGATCTTCTAATAGAGCTATTTTCTCGATAGCGAACATATTGTGAAGGTTGCAAATCGCAATCTTTGGCTGCTATTTCGTTGTGATCGACTTTTATGATTTAACTCTCTCCACCCCCCACTGCCCCATGTCAGAAACTTCTTGATAAAAGACTGACTCTACATGTTCGTTAAAATTCTGAGAATGATGCTGCAGCTACCCAAACAAGGGAATTCACTTGAATTTTCTGATAAATGTTTGAGAAGCATGCTTTTAGCTCTAAACTCCAGCTCAGTTTGTTTGACTATCTGTATTTGTTGTGTATGTCTAGGCTAATGTGCTAACCTTGTCACCCAGTTTTCAATTGATGAGTTAATCTGTTAAACATTTTGGGGGAAATAGGATTCTTAGCAAACATCTCTTTGTTTCAAGTACATCTTGTATAGTACATGGAGAGTTCTAGTCATGTACATTTTTATTGAATGAAGCTCACTTTCCCATAGGGGCTTGCATCTGGACAAAGCTTTAATAGCTTGGTGAGCCTGTTTGGAAGGGGCTAGCTTCTGAAGCCAAGCCCATGCCTTACCTAGCAACTCATCAAATGGGAATGGATTTTGGTCACTTGTAATGACAAGACACCTTTTGTGCTTGTGTTCTTAAGCTTAAGGATTTGTAGACCGATCAGGATGAGGCAAATTCTTCGTTCTCTGAAGGACAATTAGGAGATGTCAATTATAATGCTGCAAGTTCCTGTATATCTAAAGAAGGAAGCTTCCAATTCCCGAACCCCCGTCTAACTTGGATTCTGAACCCCTGCCAATCAAGAAACTGTCTGGACGTCCTTGCAACACATGCTGCTGCAGCTGCCGCGTTATGTAAGGGCCTTTTTGGTTTCTAATTATTGGGGTTCCAAATCATACTGTTCAAAAATGATGTTACCGACTTGATAGTCTAAGAAATCTCTTTTTGCCTTTTGAATAACTTTCAGAAAGTTCTTTATTTTATTTCAAATAGCTGGGTTCTCTGAATCAAGTATTTGTCTGGAAGATTATACCACTGAGCTTTTATGGGTTTCATTCTACAGCATTGTGGGTAATGCTTATTAGGATTTGCCCAGACGAACTAAAGTTTTTAGTAATTGTGCCAGCCTTACTACTGGAAACTCTCTGAGTTTGATGCTTTGACTTTGGCGCAGGAAGGCCTAAAGCATTTCTGCATGCCATTGCAAATGAGAACCAACTCAAGCGCTCAAATGATTTCTTGCTTGTTTTCTCAGTTATTTACCTAGTGATGAGTGTCAGTCTAATACGTTCAGCTGGTGCAATTCGGTTGATTTGACAAATTCCTTAAGTATCCTCATGATATCTTTTAGTGTTAGGATTTGTTTATTGCCAGAGTTTTCATGTACTTTTCTTTTCTTAAAAAATTAGAAGAAATCGTGATCATTGTTTGTGCTTTAGATTTTGGTTCAATAAGGCCCTCTCCTCTACTGTGCAAACAATAAAACCGGTCTTATAACTCTGTGGAGTAATTTTCTTGAAAATTCCATATATCATATGTAGGTCTTTGGTTTCATCTGTCAGCGGTATTTCATTAGTACAAGCTTTCATCTTAAAGAACTAGTTTCAAAAGCACTGCCAGTATGTTGAGGAACTAGCTAAATGGAGCATGGTTATGTGAGTAGTGAAACTGATTCTAGTTGCTTCGCCAGACTTATTTTCATACATCATAATGCATTACATTTGCAAATTGAGCTTATAACAGTGTAGATAATGTTGTTGCAGCCTCATGTTCCTTGACTGATAGAGAGATATGACATTTAGGATCATTTACTCCACACTATTCATCAGGAGCTATTTCCAGGTATATGCTTGTGAAACTTACTGTGCTTTGCGGCATGAAAGTGTAGAATTTTTGTTGGTGTTCATGGAATGTAGAAGTTTTAAGGATTGGAGAAGTCAAATATTCCTCGGATGCAGACCATGATTATTTTATGGATTGTTTCTCAGGATTCACCCTCATTTTCTTTTGATGGGTGCCTGCCTTCTAGTTGGACCATTCTTCTTCTTTGTGGACTCATCACTCTAATCTCGGAAAAAGATATTTTTGGAACACTTGTCCGTGGGAATAACCTCTTTCGCTGTAGCAGCCTTTATTATGTAAGTAGAGGCTTAAAAACTTTATGTCTGTGACTGCTGAACTGGATTGATGCCATACGCACAACTATCTTGCCTCGCTAAATAGACTTCCTCTTATCCTTTTCCGTGCATGAGATCTTGAAGTGTCTGATAGTTTTATCTTGATCATCAGCTATCATTACAAAAGGAGCTTTATCAACAAAATCATACTTTTCCGGGGCATGCTGACTGAAGAATAAAGTCACTCTAGCGAGATCAATTTACCCTGCCATCAATTCTCAGACTTATGGATGCTTTATCTTGAGGTTCGCTTTGACATGGTACCTCTGTGTGCTGGTAAAACCGTGAGTTTAGCTAAAGCATGATTAGCATTTATTCTTTAAACGGAGATGGTATTCAACTCGTTAATGCTTATAATCATTGTTTGATTGCAAATAGAAGTCAAGTTTTACTGGGTATGGGGAAATTTCTCTTCTTCTGATGTTTTATTAACTGGTTCATTTTCCTTCTATTTTAGCTTTAAGATTTGCTGCAAGCAGGTTTGTGACTCATTTGGTTCCATGGAAAATTTAAGTGATGCTGGGATCCGTGATATAGTTATTCAGATTGATGATTAGGCCCTTCTCCAATTCAGAAGGATGTACAACAACAATAACAAACCCAGTGTAATCCCATAGGTGTGGGGTATGTGAAGGGTAATGTGTACGCAGACCTTACCCCTACCTTGTGAAGGTAGAGAGGTTGTTTCCGATAGACCCTCGACTCAAGGGACAGTGAAAATAGAGTAACAAACAGTAACAACAACAATGCAATAGGGGCAAATGGCACAACATGTAACAAAATAGAACCAGGAATAAGAGAAATACAAAAATAGTACTAGTACTACTGGTAATACTAAGAGACACTAGCGAATACCTGTCATCCTTCCACCCTAATTCTCAATCTGCACCCTTTTCTATTGAGGGTCATGTCTTCCGTAAGCTGGAGCAATAACATGTCCTACCTAATCACCTCACCCCAATACTTTTTAAGCTTACCCCTACCCTTCCTAAGGCCCGTCATGCACAACCCCTCACACCTCCTGACTGGGGCATTTATGTCTCTCCTCTGCACCTGCCTGAAATATCTCAGCCTCGATTCCCACAATTTGTCCTCCACCGAGGCAACACCCGCCTTTTCCCTAATAACTTCGTTCCTAATTTTGTCTTTTCTGGTATGCTCACACATCCATCTCAATATCCTCATTTCAACTACCTTCATCTTCTGGACATGAGACTTCTTGACGGGCCAACACTTTGCTCCATACAACATAGTCGGTCTAACCACTACTCTGTAGAACTTGCCCTTAAGTCTTGGTGGCACATTCTTATCACGCAGAACCCCAGAAGTTCAGAAGGATGTAGATTCTCCAATTTAAACAAGAATGACAGTAAATTATTAATGACTTAACCCATTTAAAAGATATTTAAGAAGATTAGCCGTTAACTCTTTAGTTTACTATCAATTCATGTCAAATCTCCTAATGTGGGCTGATGTTGAGTTTGGTGTTCTCTTTGCACCTGACTGCAAGACCCATCAAGTAAATATATAGTAGTAATTTGTTTAGGGTATTGTGTAGTCATGCTTCACTGACAGGCACTTTGTTCTAAACATATTTTTTTAATACCAAAATTCAGTTTTAATCTTTTTGAGGTACAAGTATCTTATGCAATCTATTCTTCATCTCCCATTTGCTCTCGCACATGACACGTATACCATTCTCACCTAAATGATGCAAGGGGCAAAGAGGTATCAACTATCTAGTGCTTCTGCTTTCATGCATTTCTTTTTGGACAATTGTTGAATTGTAGAACTAACAAAGTGGTACTAAGAATGCTTGTTACTACGTGGTGGTCTTGTTGCATTATTTTTCCTTTGTATTTTCGGTATCAAGCTGTGCTTTATGTAGCAATATTAAGGTGGCATCTAAGGTGTGATTAGTGTGTACGATAACGGAATAAGTTTTATGTTTAAAATTAAAACATGTTCATAGGCTTTACTATAGTTTATTTATGACCTAAAAGTGTTCTGTTCAGTATAATAGGATGCTGCATATGTACATTTAGGGTCATCCTGTATAGATTTTCATTGTTCTCATCAACTTTTATCATTGCGCGGACTGTGTCCAGATACTTTATTTGGTTCCATTTGTAGATAAATTCTCGTTCTGATCCTCATATAACAGTGAAACATGGTCAAATAGATAAGAAAGGGGAATACATTGGTCCGATCCCAAAGGAACCCAAGTATGATGAAATTCAAGTCGTGGAGAACCAAAAAAAGGGAACAACTCAACGAGTGACCTGCAATGGCAGAGTTTATGATTATATGCTTTGAAAGCTTGAGCAGATAAAGTAGCCAAAGTGGGAAATGAAGCTTATGATGATTAAGTAGACTAGCGCTTAGGCAAGTATGCAAACGATAGGAAAAAGTGAACAAAGTTAAATTTTGTGAACATCATGATTATTCTTTTGAAGTTTTGCTCGATAGGTTGGACTTCTTAATGGAATTCATGCAACCTTGCTTCAAATTGCAGGTATTAGATGGATGCCATTAAGGCATTATGTGTCCTTTTGATTTCTTAAATCAAAGTACTAAGAAGCATTAGGAACCAATGGAGAAACAAGGAGGGGGTTTTGGGTGGAAAGGGAGGGGGGGTTAAGATTTGCTAAAGAGGCTAGATGGCAAGAGTGACACTGGATTAGTATCTGTCCTATGTATTTGTTTGGCCACTCGAACCCTATAGTGGTATGCTGATCTGATGGTGTAATCTTCCTGAAAATACTTATGAGATATTATGCTAAGAGCTAATGTACCTTAGGTAGTATTATTTGTCCAACCTTTTACTTAAGTCCACTATGGTGAAATTAAAAGCTTTAACTGCTATTGATTTGTCCATAAAGCTGAAATCTGGTGCTATTCCAAGATCAGAGAAGTCTTTAAGTTTTATTGAAGTATGGTACAAGGTATATCTAGGAAAAGAACTTATCAACCTGCAATGCAAACAGTGAACACTTTTTGTTCTCCACTAACTATAGCTGCTAAAAGCTTCACTTGATTATAGGGCTCGTGGTTTGAGCAATTATGTCTTTCCACATCTATGAAAATGAAAATGCTACCATTATGCATGCTATTAGACTTAATTATCCATCCTCAAGTTCATCTGTTTACTAGAAAAAATCACTTGTTTGAGTAAATTTTGAGAAAGACAAAAGGACAACTAAAATCACCTCCCAAAGATGATACGTGTCTCGCAGGCAATGATTATAAATAGGAAAATAAGAACATCGTGATGCCTTTCCTTTTCCATTAGCTAAGCATGTCAATTTGTAGTGATTCCCAATAACATTTCAATTTAGTTTCCACCCTTTTTATTTATACATACTTTAGAAGGTGTAAATCATTTGCTTGTCTATTTATATACTTTGGAAACCGATGGAGGTGGGATTTTCCACTCCGATATATCTTCACTTTAAAGCAACTTTATTTATGATATAACATGAAATGCAATGATATTTATGGGGCCTCCTTTGAAATCCTTTTTTGTTCTCATTCTTAAAATTCTTACCACGCTCTCAATGTTCAAAATGGGTGATTATGAATATACTTGAAGTCACATGAATGCCTTAATTACCTTCTTTACCTATCTAATCATCAAAAAGTTAGGTGTATTTTAGAGCAAATCATTATTAAACGGACGATTTGATGGCCTTATTTCATCGGCTTGTACAAAGAAAATTAATAAACCGCACCAAATCGATAATCCGAGTCAAATCGGGAAAAAAAATCCAATGTGGTTTGGTATTGAAAAATAAAATCCGACCATAATTGGTTTGGTTTGGTTTGGTTTTAATTAAAAAAAGTCGAACCGAAACCAAATCAATCCGATAGTACATTTATATAGTTTTTAAAAATATTTTATATATATAAATATTTATTATAATATAATTTATAAATATTTCTTAAACTTTTTCATAATTTTATCTTTTAACGTATTATTTCAAGTTTAGACTTATCATTATTGAATGGTAAATAAAGTTTAAAGCCCATAAATGTAGTAACTCAAACAAAGTTTAAATCAATACTAATGCTAACAAAAGAAATTCAATTCAATACTAGGAATGACGATAGTGTTGGATATATATTTTAGTTTTACATTGGTTTATAATGAAAATGCATAACTTAGTTTATCTTTTTCTTTAGTGCTTAGTTATGTAATTAATATTAGTACTTATTAGCTATACTTATTTTAGCATGACCTATATAGTATTTTTTTAGATTATGTTAATTTTCATTATGGGTTATTAATTAGCAATATTCGTTTTATGTAATTTTACTATTTTATCTTTGTTATTGAATATTTTAGTATAATGATATGACTTATCTCATATTATTGTGTTAGTTTCTTGGAAAATACATTATATAGTTGTATTTTACTAGGACTTAAGAAATATTTGGAGCACAAGTTACATATTTTATGCAATGAAGACTTTACCGAAAAAAATATCCGAAAACCCGAAAAAATCCGAGATTAAAAAATCCGACTTTGTTGGTTTGGTTTGGTTTATAAATTTAAAAATCCAACACTATTAGATTGATTTGATAATTGAAAAATCTGAACCAATCCGACCTATGTACACCCCTAAATTTCCATCAATGAATCATTCAAGAACGAATTTAGAAAGACTATTCTAATCTTATTCAACGAAATCAAGGTGGAGCTTGGGGTGATTTCTTCTTTCTTAATATGTCTAATTTGAAATCTCTCTGTACCTTCAGACACCTCTTACTCTTTTCGTAATTTTGACTTACTCCTCAAATTTGAGGATTAAAAATTTCTTGGTTTTGATTGAAAATGTTTTTTTTCCTGTTTATCCATCTGGTATTTCATACCATTGCTCGGACTAATCCGTATTCGTGCTATGTAAAATATTAAGGGGAAAATATTTTACCAAAGAATTTTATAATATGAAATCTCCGAGTAAGGGGGGAGATCTCATTTACTGTAAACTCCACCGGTTATTGCTACTTGCTAAAAACCCCAAGAAGAGGACAAAAGCATTGCAAAATTGGATCGTGTTTGCAACGCCCCAAAATAGTGCATGTAAACTTGAAAATACCCTTATCATCGCCGAGGTAATATTAGGCCTAGGGAAATATTTCTTGACTTAAGATAGGGTCTCTGTCTCTCACATGCCAATTTCACTCAGCTTCAAAGCCTAATCATTTTGTCCTCCACTAATTGGCAAAGGAAAGTCATCATATGTGATAAATAGAAAGACCCTACTAGTCTCTACTTTGAGTGTAAATGTTTTCGCGTGGCCCCAAAGTTGGAGGAAAGTTGAAGAGGTTATGACTATGAAGTCAAAACACTAGAAGTCACCTTTAGTCATGCTTGGTATGGTGCACATCTGTGCATTGTTGATGTAGCCCTTTTGTGCACTGAAGTGGGTCGACTGAAGGCATAATCTCTTTTTTTTTGCCACCCGGTGTCGGTACTCGTACTGGGCACGACTAAATCCGGATTCGCTCCGGAAAGTCCCACATTGAGGGGTAAAACGTTCTCTAACAAAGGCGATTTCATACTCATGGCTCGAACTCGATACCTCTGATTAAGGATGAAGGATTATTTAACACAACCCATGACCCTGAACTTGATAGCATTTATTCAGTGTACATATAAATTATTTTTGGTTCTTGATTATCGGGTAAACTTCATCCCCCCTAATAAGATTTGAGCTCTTGCCACAATCTACACCTTTTTTCTTTATGTATAATATAATATTGTTTAGATTTTTCACATTATTTCTGAGATTTACGAATTGAGTGTACTATATGCACAAAAAACTGCAAACCTACTAGTTTTAAGTTTAAGACAGATAAACATAAACAGTCGCGGCTAACAATAAATTGGACCACACCCATCTATAAATAGACCTCCTAATAAGGTATTCTTTGTTCCCTATATTTGGGTTTGATTTGGTGAGAAGGAGAAAGTGAAATAATCGTCGTTGAGTTTAAGTTGTATTAAAACAAGTTAGTTGGAAGTAAAGTAACTTTTCCTTTTTCCTTTTCATCCTATAATAATGTGTTAAAAAAGTTTTATGTTAAAGGTTAAAGGGTTAATTGTACCTTTTACTTTTTACATCCCCTCGGACCTCCTGTGCAGGTGATGTTAATCTCACTTACAGGCATTTTATTTAGTTGTAATGCTAAATTATCACGAGTTCTGTCCTCTTGTGTGTCCTTTACTA